TACTTGGGAACAGTCCACTTCTTGTGATGGGACTCCTCAAATGGGTATTGGACTGTGAAATAACTGGAAGATGTGAACATTATATTAAGAGTCTTCCAGTCTCTGTACAGGGCAACGGGGATTAGTGAACGCATCGAAAGCAGGGGTGGACTGACCATTTGGAAACTCGGGCACTGCCTGAGGGCCCGGGGTCAGTAGGGGGCCCCATGAGATGCCCCTGGTACCTTTTTCATAGGCTTTTTTGAGTTTGGGCACGGACACAGGGGCCCCATGATCCCCTATTGCCCGGGGGCCCCATGTGTTGTCAGTCCGCCCCTTCGGAAGTTTTAGCACTTTAGGACCTCTAAGGGATCATAATAGACAACAGCTACAGGCTTCTCTTCCATTTTTAAACTGGCACGCGCCACATCAACAAGAGCCAAAATGGTTTCTTTAAGCCTGTCCCTGCAACTCCTCAGGGATAATATCATCCAGCAAGGATTTTTGAGACTCATCATCAGACAGAGCCTACAAAGCAGAAGGCTCAGAGGGTAAGTCATTGAGGTACACTTAGCACTGATCACTGTACTGGTGTCACTGGGAATGTCAGTGACAGTCAGTTCCCACCCAGTGTCAGAATGCCCGCTGCAGTCTCACAATAAGTCACTGATCGCCGCCATTACTAGTAAATAAAAAAAAAATTACAGTATATATACCGCCATTTGTAGACGCTATAACTTTCACGTAAACCAATTAATTTACACGTATTGGGATTTTTATTAGCGAAGACATGTAGCAGAATACATTTTGGCCTAAATTTATGACGAGATTTGATTTTTTAAATTTACTAGACGTGTTCAATAGCAAAAAGTCAAAAATACTGTTTTTTTCTCAAAATTGTCAGTCTTTTTTTGTTTATAGCGCAAAAAATAAAAAACGCACAGGCAATCAATTACCAATGAAAGAACGCTATATTCTTGGGAAAAAAGGACATAAATTTAATTTGGGTGCAGTGTTGCATGATCGCGTAATTGTCAGTTAAAGTAACGCAGCGCCGTAACACAAAGGCCTATCAGGAAGGGGGGGGGAAATCCTCAGGAGGGCAAGTGGTTATTGAACAACTTTTAGGGCCCTTTCACAATGCTTGCTAAGGCCTCATTCACACTGGGCATTTAGCCATGATGTATGAGATCCTGGAATTTTGGAGCAGGTGGCAAGTACAGGTGCACTGGGCAGCCTATAAAACTCTATGATCAAGCAAGCAGTCTGTTTCAGCTATTTTAAAAGGATTTTTTTTAAATTTACTAGACATATTCAATAGCAAAAAGTCAAAAATATTGTTTTTTTTTTCTCAGAAGTGTCAGTCTTTTTTTGTTTATGGCGCAAAAAATAAAGACCGCACAAGCGATCAAAAACTAACGAAAGAAAACTATATTTGTGGGAAAAAAAGGACAAATTTTATTTGGGCGCAGTGTTGAATGATTGCGCAATTGTCCGGTAAAATAACACAGTGCCGTATCGCGAAAAATGGCCTGGTCAGGAAGGGGAGTAAATCTTCTGGAGGGCAGGTGGTTAAGTGAGAGGTGGACAACCATGGGCGGACTGACCATTTGGAAACTCAGGCACTGCCCGAGGGCCCGGGGTCAGTAGGGGGCCCCAAAAAATGCCCCTGGTACCTTTTTCATAGGCTTTTTTGAGTTTGGGCAAGGACACAGGGGCCCCATGATCCCCTATTTCCCAGGGGCCACATGAGTTGTCAGTCCGCCCCTGTGGGCAACACAGCAATCAAAACACTAACAGGCACACTATTAACAACAAATAACTGGGGACTACCTGTCAAGTAGATATTCCTCAAGATGCTAAGATTGTTATATATTACTGTGTGGACTGCAAAGGTTAGAACATCTTCAAGATTTTTAATTGCATAGTGTGTTTACACATTCTACCCCTCGAATCCTGTCCTCATCTCTCTGTGTATAGTGTTCGGCAGGGGAAAGTCTCATTCATTTATGGGAACTTCCTGTGGCTGTAGTTTACCAGACAGCAAAGCAGTGAAAAAAATAAATCTGAGATTTTACATGAGAAAAATAAGTCAGTAAAATACTAACTTCTTTAGTGCTTTCAGCACGGCAGAAATCCCCTTTCAGGTGTGAATCTTACATCCATGCTGGGCGCTCACACCAGAGTACAAGAAAAGGCACACTGAAAAGCAAAAGAGCCTGCAAGGTAAATGAACCAGGCAGATGTCACATAAACCATGAAATCACAGAAAACACAACTGCAATAGAGATGGACACAATATGTTATATAAAAGACAGACCTGCTAAGCATACCTCCCTGCTTGTCGGGTTGTACACATCCTGCTTCATATAGCCCTTTATACAATTCTCAAACCTCATTCTGTTTTTCTGTCTATGACATATTCTAAAAAAAAAAAAAAGAAAATCTTCTTAGAATTTTATATTTTACTAACTCTTTTCTCATGTAAAATCCCAGATTTATTTTTTACTTGCTGCAAAAAATCCTCACACTCTGCAGAAGATAAAGAAGAGTAGTTTTACATTTCAGGAAAGCAGACTTACAGTTCCCATAGATATGAATCCAATTATATACATAGGTAGTTGCTGTATCCCGAAGCCGAGGGAGGAATTGTCCACCATCTTTTGAGTTTGCATTGAATAATCTGGATCAAATTACAGGCAGGGGCGGACTGACAACTCATGGGGCCCCCGGGCAATAGGGGATCATGGGGCCCATGTGTCCTTGCCCAAACTCAAAAAGCTTATGAAAAAGGTACCAGAGGCATCTCATGGGGCCCCCAACTGGCCCCGGGCCCTCGGGCAGTGCCAGAGTTTCCAAATGGTCAGTCCGCCCCTGATTGCAGGACAAGCTTCTTGGTCTATATTTGCTGAATTTGTATGCTTTTGGTAGGGGAGGACTAAAGATTGTACTTCCTGCTCAAAATGAAGCCCTGCCTGTGTCTGTTACTAGTTTTTAGATTTCTGTATGTTTATACTGATAGCAATCAGTGCATGTATGTTGAGGTCATCAAAGCTGCATCTACCTATCTGGACCCCTCACTGATCAGGACTGACTGCAGAACAGGTACTAAATGTACAGAGAGGTGGGCAGAATGGTCTTTACATAAAGGTCAAGGCTGGGATACATTTTACATGTATATGCTAAGCTCTCCATTACTAAAGTGTTGTCAGTATAATAAAACTATTTTCCAAAGTTAACATACACAACAGAATCATTATAACACAAAACAGAACACATACATTTATGCATATGAACACATACAGTTGCAAGAAAAAGTATGTGAACCCCTTGGGATTACGTGGAGTTTTGCATGAATTGGGCATAAAATGTGCTCTGAACGTCATCTAAGTCACAACAATAGAAGAACACAGTCTGCTGAACATAATACTACACAAACATTAGATGTTGCCATGGTTTAATTGCACATAACATGTAAACATTCACAGTGCAGGGAGGCAAAAGTATGTGAACCTTTGGACTTTATAACTGGTTGACCCTCCTTTGGCAGCAATAACCTCAACCAAACGTTTCCTGTAGTTGCAGATCAGACCTGCACAACGATCTGGAGTAATTTTGGACCACTCCTCTTCACAAAACTGTTTCAGTGTAGCAATATTCTTGGGATGTCTGGTGTGAATCGCTCTCTTAAGGTCATGCCACAGCATTTCAATCGGGTTGAGGTCAGGACTCTGACTGGGCCACTCCAGAAGGCGTATTCTGTGCTGTTGCAGCCATTGTTTTGTTAAATTACTTGTATGCTTTGGGTCATTGTCCTGTTGCATCACCCATCCTCTGCGGAGCTTCAGTTGGCGGACAGATGGTCGTACGTTTTCCTGCAAAATGTCTTGATAAACTCTGGAATTCATTTTCCCATCAATGACAACAATCCGTCCAGGCCCTGAGGCAGCAAAGCAGCCCCAAACCATGATGCTCCCTCCGCCATGTTTTACAGTGGGGATGAGGTTTTGATGTTGGTGTGCTGTGCCTTTTTTTCTCCACACATAGTGTTGTGTGTTCTTCCAAAAAAACTCAATCTTGGTTTCATCTGTCCACAGTATATTTTGCCAGTAGTGCTGTGGAACATCCAGGTGCTCTTTTGCAAAATTCAAACGTGCTGCAATATTCTTTTTGGACAGCAATTGCTTCCTCCGTGGTGTCCTCCCATGTACTCCATTCTTGTTTAATGTTTTCCTTATTGTAGATGTGTCAACAAAAATGTTATCATGTGCCAGAGATTTCTGTAGGTCTTTAGCTGACACTCTGGGATTCTTCTTTACCTCATGCAGCATTCTGCGCTGTGCAAATCTGGATCTCTTGCAGTCATTTTTACAGGACGACTAAGCCTAGGGAGAGTAGCAACAGTGCTAAACTTTCTCCATTTGTAGACAGTCTGTCTTACCGTGGACATATGAACATCAAGGCTTTTGGAGATACTTTTGTAACCCTTTCCAGCTTCATGCAAGTCAACAATTCTTGATCGTTGGTCTTCTGAGAGCTCTTTTCTGGGGGGATGGTTCACATCATACAGTGCTCCTTGAAACCAGTAAACCCCTGTGTCAGGTGTGTGTTTTTTAAGGGCAGGACAGCTGTCAGCAACACATCCAATATCATCACACTGATTGGAGTCAAGGTTAGCTCACTCCTCACTGATCCAATTAGCTCTGGGAGAAGTCATTAAGCTAGAGCCTCACATACTTTTTCCTCCATGCACTGTGAATGTTTACATGTTATGTGCAATTAAACCATGGCAACATCTAATGTTTGTGTAAGTATTATGTTCAGCAACTGTGTTCTTCTATTGCTGTGATTTAGATGACGTTCAGAGCACATTTTATGCCCAATTCATGCAAAACTCCACGTAATCCCAAGGGGTTCACATACTTTTTCTTGCAACTGTATGTACATCTGTCTATATCAGGGGCGGACTGAGAACTCATGGGGCCCCCGGGCAATAGGGGATCATGGGCCCGTGTCCTTACCCAAACTCAAAAAGCCTATGAAAAAGGTACCAGGGGCATCTCATGGGGCAACCTACTGACCCCGGGCCCTCGGGCAGTGCCTGAGTTTCCAAATGGTCAGTCCGCCCCTGGTCTATATACATAGAAACACATATGTGCATGAATTAAAGTACACCTAAACCCAGCAGCAAACATGTAATATACTGCAGCTTACCACTCCTTAGGAACCTTTCACATTGGTGGTTCAATTGGATCTGCCTGTCCAATTTTCAGACGGACCCAGTCGGACCCTCCATTCTCCTCTATGGGTAGCTGGATGTAAACAGACTTGTGTTCATTTACACCTAGCTATCACCAATGCAGCAAAAGCAAACTGAAGGGGGCTTTGCTCCCCTCTGCCTGATCCCTCTGCCGGACCAGATCAGATAGCAGTCGGGTGTAAACACACAGGCGGTCTGTTTACATCAACTGCCCCAAGAGGGGAGCGGGCCGTGTCTGCACTGCACAAGCAGACACGGACCTGTCATCTTCCTGCTCAGAGGGGAATCAACAGATAGGTCTCCTACTGAGTAACAGGATTGCAGGCGGAGTCCGCCCATGTGAAAGGTGTGGTGTCATCATTAGCTTTACATTTTTCAGGCTAATTACATTTTTGGCAACTACTGAAATATATTTGTTGATTCTGTAAGAAATCCAGTACCCTCCTTGCTTCCTATGCACAGAAATGAAATCTGAACATTTTGCTTCTTGGGTTTGGATGCACTTTAAGAGGAGATCCACAAAAGGAACATGTTGCAATTTTCCTGAAACAGCAACAATAACCTATATGCTGCACTTTCAAAATCACCCTCACATAAGAGAGAGAGAGAGAGAGAGAGAGAGAGAGAGATGTTTATTTAATCCTATCTATTACATTCTTAGAAAATTGCAGCTACATTGAAATAAAACTTGGCATTTTGTTTTCTGTTGGTACAAATCTGTACCAAACCAGCACTCCCAACTTCTGCTTCACCGAAGCTTTATATGTGTGTGTACACACACACACATACAGACACACACACATACAGACACAAACACATACATAAATACTATACATATATATATATATACACATATATATACATATACATACACACACACACACATACACACACACACACACACACACACACACACACACACGTAGTATCCACATACTGGAAAAAAATTGGACTTCAATGCAAAAACGCCCTCTAGTGACTGCAATGCAAAATTGCATCCCATAGACTTCAATGCGTAATTGCGCCCATAGACTTCAATGCATAATTGCGTCCCATAGACTTCAATGCATAATTGAGTCCCATAGACTTCAATGCAAAATCGTGTCCCCATTGCAATAACGTCCCATAGACTTCAATGCATAATTGCGTCCCATAGACTTCAATGCATAATTGCGTCCCATAGACTTCAATGCATAATTGCGTCCCTTCATAGCCCCCTAGTGATTTCAATGCAAAATTGTGTTCCCCATTAACTTCAATGCAAAATAACGTCCCCTAGACTTCAATACAAAAACGCCCCCAATAGACTTCAATACAAAAACGCTCCCTAGTGACTTCAATGCAAAAACGCCAGCCACATTAACTACATTTATACTATATATATATATATTTGAAACTGCTTTCATGAAGCAAACATCCCAGATGCACAGTACACTGAGACTAACCTTCCCGGTAGGTTACAACGAGCACAGCGATCCCCGCTCCCCATCAATGTACCGCCTGTCACTCATTCTCCAGCCTAGGCTCACCGGAGGGAAGCTCCGCCCTCTCGCTACACACCTTGCCAGGACAGCCAGTCACGATAAGGGTGTGTCCGCTCCCAGCCAATGAAGGACAAGGTGTTTCCCGTCTCTTTAAACTGTTAGCAGCGATCCGCGGGCCAGTGATCAGCTCCAGGGAGAGAGAGATGAGGAGCAGAGCCGGGACTGCACCATGCCAGCCGGCCTCCGCCTATCCCTGGCCGCCCTGTGCCTGCACCTCCTGGTCCTCACCGTCCTGCTGCTGCCGCCGCCTGCCGATGCCTACTTCGGGTCAGAGATCTTTTTCCTCCTTCTATCTCACCTTCTCCTACTACTAGAACCTGATGGGGACCGACTCTGTCCTGACTGCCAATGTTCACTGATCACCTGGGGGCTTCTCATGTAGTTATTAGATGATGTGGGGGCAGGGTGACCATTGTATGTACTAACAAGTGCTGCTGACCACAGGTCCTACCTAGAGGGACTGTATATAATCTGTACAGCCAGGTTCTCTGTTACCTCCACTCAGTGTATGGGCGATGTGATCGTTGCCTCTCCACCTCCCATCACCACTTGTCTCTCTCCTCATTCCTTGTCCTCTGTCCCTATGCCCTCCCTTCATCCCTCTGTCCTCAATTTATCCCCTGTCCCTGTGCACTCCATAGCCTGTCATCATCCTTCTATATTGTAGCTGCGATCAAATACACCAAAGACATATTTAATAGTAAAACCAGATTATCCTAGTTAGGGGATTATGTCGCAGCCTTTCACTTGCTGTCACATGGCACACAACGGTGATCATATGAAATGATAAAAAAAAAAAAAAAAACCCACTGGGAAAAAAAAAAAAAGTTTTCACTGACATAGACACCGATGTACACAGCAATAGGAGGAAATCACAGATCTGAAGAACCAAGGCAACACACTGCAAAAGTGATTCGTGTATGTATTCAGCATTTTTGTAAAGAGAAACTACAAAATACTATTTTAGATGATAAAACTTATAAATAATTTGGAAAGAGCTACAAAGAATTACATACTGATTATAGTTATGTGCTTTTAGAAAGGTCAAACGTTTTCTGTAGGATTTATTATTTTTTTTATACATGATGATATTTCATCTTTTTAGATTGTTAGCTAAATAGATTGATTGCTTAAATACCTACAACAAAAAAGTTTCTGCTACTTTCCCAACAATATAAGAATTTGTTTTTACCGACAAAAATGTGTTCTTTATAGAGTGACATTATGCAAAGTTTTTTGGAACACATTTATTTTGTATAGGTGAAGCATTAAAAAGAAAAAGTCCAGGTAGCCTTTTTATTCTTATAGAAGAAAAAATGTGCATATATATATATATATATATATATATATATATATATATATATATATATATATATATATATATATATATAAATAACACACACATTGTTTTTTTTTTTTTAGGAGGGTTGTTAGCCTTTGATTAATTCAGAATGTTAGGTGTTTAGGTGATATGTCTTGTTTGCTGATTTGTTATTAAAGATTCAAGCTTTCTGAAAAAAAAAAAAAAAAATATATATATATATATATATATATATATATATATATATGTATTCATTTTTTGACAGATTTTTATATATATATATATATATATATATATATATATATATAATAATCTGTCAAAAAGAATATACATATTTTTTTTTTTAGAAAGCTTAAATCTTTAATAAATATATCTATCTATCTATCTATCTATCAATTTACAAAAACAAAACAATATATACATATATATAAAAAAATAAATTATATATATATATATATATATATATATATATATATATATATATAAAAATGTATTTTATTTTTTTAAGTATATATATAAATCAGGGGTGGACTGACCATTTGGAAACTCGGGCACTGCCCGAGGGCCCCGGGTCAGTAGGGGGCCCCATGAGATGCCCCTGGTACCTTTTTCATAGGCTTTTTTGAGTTTGGGCAAGGACACAGGGGCCCCATGATCCCCTATTGCCCGGGGGCCCCATGAGTTGTCAGTCCGCCCCTGATATAGATATATATATATATCCTTTACAACAGCCAGATTAACCTACAGTAACTTCTGTAGCTGTTCAGTCAATGAATTAAGCATCAACAGTGAGGTTTTCCAATGTCAGCTGTCTGTAGGACAGGACATTTTATATATATATACCCTGCCATTGAACAGATCTCTGCAAGAAGATCAAGGCACACTCAGGTCATAGGAGAAATATATGTCTTATAAGGGCATCATCTATTCAGTGGATTATAGTCTACCAGCACTGCACTCCACCACTGAATACATTTTAGGGGTATATTATAAAGCTGAGAATAGGACATTCACCAAACTCTCAGGTGGTTATCATTCCCTGTAGGTGAACATCCAGATTCTCTTGCAGTAAATATTTGGTTAATGGCCCCACATATTATTATGTATATGATAATTATATATGATGCATATAACTACATTGGCTGGGTGAGAGAAGGAGCAGCCAGGTCAGGCCAGGTAAATGGCTACTAAACGTTTGGGGTGTCAATCACCAACCACAGGGACAGACCACCGCTGGACACAGGGACAGACCACCGCTGGACACAGGGACAGACCACGCCCACTGTACAATTGTCAGTGTGATGGGCACGGTGAGGACAAATGTGTCAGGCACAGACACGCGCGCGCACATATATATATATATATATATATATATATATATATATATATATATACATATACATACACACACACACATACACACACACATTGTTTTTTCACTAAAAAAATTATTTTTTATTTCCAAATCAAGTAGAAGGAAAGGGTTAAGGCCCCTTGATACATACCTGTTTTTCATCTTCTTTTCTCACCCTTCTCTCCAGCAGATTTCCCTTTCCTGTTTTCTCACAGTCCGTTCTCTGCCCCCTCCCCGCATAGATCTCTTTCTCTCCCAGTATTTGTGTACGGTGATTTGTGCTGAGCTCTCAGACCTTGAAATGAAGAGATTTTCTCCAAATATTTACATTCATAAAATCACATAATATGGGTAAACTGCAGGTGATGGCAGGGAGGAACAGATTATCGGACGGATGGTTCATGTGAGTGATAAAACAAATCCTTGGCTCCTGAGTATATTCAGTTACAGTCCCCAGACTCATTTGTCTTTATAAATGAATACAAGTGCCTATACTACAGAGTTGGTCTAAAATGTAAGTCATTTTCAGAATGTTGGTACTCCACGTTCCACACCTCCCAATTAAACAGTACATGTCCATTCTCTTCATTTTAAACTAATTGGACAGGACAAGAAAACTCAGGCCCAAAAAGTTCTAAACGGTTACCTGCTTTAGTAAATCACTCTAAAACTAATTGCATCATTTCCCAAATGTGTCCTCTGCACAGA